GTAATACTTATGTTTGATACTATACAGTACGTTATTGTGTAATACTTATGTTTGATACTATACAGTACGTTACTATGTAATACTTATGTTTGATACTAGACAGTACGTTTACTATGTAATACTTATGTTTGATACTATACAGTACGTTATTGTGTAATACTTATGTTTGATACTATACAGTACGTTACTATGTAATACTTATGTTTGATACTAGACAGTACGTTACTGTGTAATACTTATGTTTGATACTATACAGTACGTTACTATGTAATACTTATGTTTGATACTAGACAGTACGTTGCTATGTAATACTTATGTTTGATACTAGACCATACGACACTATGTAATACTTATGTTTGATACTAGACAGTACGTTGCTGTGTAATACTTATGTTTGATACTAGATAGTACGTTACTATGTAATACTTATGTTTGATACTAGACAGTACGTTACTATGTAATACTTATGTTTGACACTAGACAGTACGTTACTATGTAACACGTTTATTACTATCCCTTACATTACAATAAAATAGTTACGATGTTTTTCTAATCGCCCGACGCTTCAAGTCTTAAGGTCATATGTCATTTCCAGTTTTCAATTGTGCACTTTTTCCATATAGGAAGTCTGAGATATTCTTGGCATGGCCTGGAGGTTAGGGCGCTCGAGTCGCAATCTACGGGGCTCGAGATCGAAACACATCCCTGAATAGGCTCGCCCTTTCAGCAGTTGGCGGTGGGTGATATTGAATAGCTGCCTTCCTCTAGTTTGTCACTTCAGAACCACGAACGACTAGCGTATATAGCCATCGATTGGCTTCGTACGAAATTCAACAAACGAACAAAGAAAGACTCTTAAAGTTTCTTTTCTTTCTCTTCTTTTTTACAAGGCTAGTAGATGTACATTTTTTAACTCATCACTTCCGCCAGGACAGACATTGAAAGTTTTTCAATCTGTTTCCAAAGTTGATAGGGGTAGAACTGCCCGTTTCTTCTTCCTGTAAAAAAGTCTAGAAAACTTCAAAAACGTTTTTTCTACTTCTTTCGTGATTATGTTTTCCAGGAAGGTTCAACAAATCCTCTTCTGGACATCGGTGCGGTATTTGATCAGCTCACCCAAGAAGAGTTTGTGTCGACTTTAAGCATACACGAAGCGGCCAGAAACGGAGATCTGCATGCTGTGAGACTCCTGCTTCGAAACGACTGGAAACGCATGGAGTAGGAAAAACTATCCAAATAATCTTTTTCAAAAATCTAAAACCATTATAATTTATTTTACCACTAGATGGCACACTTTGTATTAGCCTAAAAATTTATTACAATTAGACGAAGCTTAAAGCGCAGACAGGTGCCTCTGTTTAAGCCTATTTTGTATGTCATGAATCTCATGAATTGTATTTGCGTGTTCACGTTTTCAGTAAATTAAAAAAAAAAGTGCTACGTTTTAAAAACATTATTAATGATGATAACTATAAAACTTGCGTTTAGAGTATTTTCTTGCTCTTTTCCATAATGGTAAATAATTCGTTAATGTAAGTTATAATTCTTTTAATAATTAGGACTGTCGACGAGAGAGGTTGGACACCTATTCACCTAGCTGCAGCCAATGGTCATGTCGAGATTGTGAAAGTAAGTAAAAACAGTGAACATTTAGTCCTAATACACATACAAAATAAAAAATCTTGATTTTAAAGAAATTGTGCTGATAAACAGTACCTTGATTAAGTATATATACGACCACCTAAGCCTAATTATTATTATTATTGAGTCTTTAAAATTATAGTGGTAAGCACGGGTTATTTTACTAGCTAAATACTGTAAGGTTGTGATAATCATCCAGGTTAAGTAGTTAGCACACAGGTTGTGATAATCAGATATCTATCGTTGTTGTGGCTAATACTAATATATACGACCACCTAAGCCTAATTATTATTATTCCACAAGTAATTACTAAGTAACATTTATCTCACGTTTCCTCGAAAGCACTATTCTTCGCTGTTGATTGTGTCCAGAATGAAATTCTGGGTCCTCTTGATTGAACTGTTTGATGTTTTGTAGGTTATTATTAATTTAATATTATCCACACGACTGGGACTTGAATATGTTACTTTCAATAAGAGTGGTATCCAGGATTTGCAGTTAATCACAAAGCTACACAATGAGGTATTTGGGCTGTGCCCACCACGGGTATCGAAACCCGGGTTTTAGCGTTATAAACCTTCAGACTCGCCGCTGGGAGGCTTGGGTGACTGGGTATGCTATCGATAACGTGGAGTAGAAAGCTTCTTCAAAAATTTATTTTCCCATGTGTGGTTCGTATTCTATTATTTGGGTGGGCCCGGCATGACCAGATGGTTAGGGCGCTTGACTCGCAATCCGAGGGTCGCGGGTTCAAATCCCCGTCTCACCAAACATACTCTCTCTTTCAGCCGTGGGGCGTTATAATGTGACGGTCAATCCCACTATTCGTTGGTAAAATATTAGCCCAAGAATTGGCTGTGGGTAGTGATAACTAGCTGCCTTTCACTGCTAAATTAGGGACGGCTATCGCAGATATCCCTCGTGTAGCTTTGCGCGAAATTCAAACCAAACAAACAATCCTATTACTTCAGTATATTGTATGGTCTTCTCTGGCATGGACGGCTACTGAAGATATTACCAAGTCTTGTTTGTCTGTTATACTCCTGATTTCTAACTTATTTCTCCGTTTTATTGGAATCCACATTCCCAGGAAACGCTCTAAATAATGTGTTATCCTTTTCTTTGGGCTTTAGTGTGTACTAATCGTTGTGTTGTTACCACTTAATAATTAGGCTTAGGTGATGGTATAGCTTACTAACTGTGACAACGATCAAACTACTGATATCTGTGATACATAAGGAACGAGCAATCTTGTCTCACACCAATAAATATTTCTTGTTTATTTATATTACGTGTTATACGCAGCCGTTAAAATTCGTTAGTTTAACCCATACTATTTCTTGTTTATTTATATTACGTGTTATACGCAGCCGTTAAAATTCGTTAGTTTAACCCATACTATTTCTTGTTTATTTATATTACGTGTTATACGCAGCCGTTTAAATTCGTTAGTTTAACCCATAATATTTCTTGTTTATTTATATTACGTGTTATACGCAGCCGTTTAAATTCGTTAGTTTAACTCATACTATTATGTAACTACCAGAGAGAGCGAATTATTTTACATTTTACTCTTTATTGCTGCTTCATGCGATTAGCAAAAGAAATGTATATTTCAGTACCTCGGGGAGAGAGGGGCTCACCTTGCTGCTTTGGACCCCAGTGGTTACACGGCCATTCACATAGCAGCCATGAACAGTCACGCTGAATGTGTAGAGGTAAGCGTCGGAAGCATGAGCTCGCCAGACAGAATTAGCTGGATATAATTAAATTAGTGTTATGCTTAACTATTGATACAAACAAAAAATATAACGACCTGTATTTCCAGAATGTATCACTACTGGCTTAATATTTCGCTCTTATAGCTTCGCAAGGATTATTGAACTTGTAGGTTATCGAAAGCTCCTGACGAAGCTGTAATAGTGAAATATTAAGCTAATAAAGATGAATTTTGGAGATATAGGTCGTTATTTTAATAATAATATTACTGCACTTTCGTCTTTGAATGAAATAATGATGACTTTAAGTAACAATTAATTACTTTTGTTCATTTGTATTCGCTGCGTAATTAGTTGCGGTAATGGATCTCAGTAAAATGTGTAAACTGGTGCTAAACTATAAAAAAGCCCGTATTTATTCGTATGAAACAGTATGTTTGTAAGAAAATCCTAGAGAAATAAAAATAAATATTGAATTTACGAAACATAAAAAATATATAGCTTCTAAAAATTAAAAATTTGTCGCAGTCTTTTAAAAGGGAGACAGATAAGGCTAATACTACGACTGAGAAAATTTTGGTAACGAAATTTCGGTTATTCTAGGTTCTTCTGGACATGGGTTCTGAAGTGGACAATGTGACGTCAGAAGGGTTCACACCATTACACCTTGCTGTTCTGAAGTGAGTGTCTAACTTGATCACGATTCAGACCAAGAATAGGTTAGCCTCCTTGCGGAGAGCAAGTGCAGTTTTTGGAAGCTGTTTCTTTTGGTAACAAGTATGGATCTTGACTGAAAATACCCTATAAAAAGCACTTTTTAGCCGCGGCATGGCGACTTATAGAACGACTTTAAGTTTTTCAAGTACAAACTTTTAGCTCATAGCTCAATCATCTCTTGACCGATTTGAGATCTAATTACAATTTTGTACTCAGGAGATCAAACCCTTTCGATTGATATATCTTACCACGCCCAAGGTCTCATAGATTAATTTACTCTAATCCTGCCTAAAATATTTTCAAGTGCCGCGGCTACTGAGGATTCCCTCTTGTTTTTTTCAACACTGAATTACACTTACCGGTAAAGATACGGAAATGAAAAGTAGCCATAATGATCTTTGAATCTACTTCAGCGCCTCTCGTGGCCTACTTCGTCTTAACTTTGGCACTGTTGCCATCATTGGATTAGTTTATTCTGAATTTCGCGCAAAGCTACGCGAGAGATATCTGCGATAGTAGTCCCTAATTTACCAGTAAAAGACTAGAAGGAAGGCAGCTAGTCATCACCGCCCACCGCCAACTCTTGGGCTACTCTTTTACCAACGAATAATAGATTGACCGTCACATTATAACGCCCCCACGGCTGAAAGGGTGAGCATGTTTGATGGGACGGGGATTCGAACCCGCGACCCTCAGATTGCGAGTCAAGCGCCCTAACCACCTGGCCATGCCTGGCCCTGCTATCATTGACCACCATCTAGATGAGTACAGTGTTATAGCAGTTTTACGTTATTTTGAAAACAAAACTATATGTGTTTTTATACAGTAGTTTAACACAGACACTCATATTCACCGTGCTGGACACAGCAACTTTGTTCAGTTGGCCACCAGAGGCGCTAAGCAACAAAAAACGAATCACTGTTAAATATCATGTAATTTACTTAACGTTTTTAAAAAAAACGTATTTGTTGAGGGAGGAAAACATTTTTTTAATGGAGAATAATAAAGTAAAAAAAAACGAAAACTGATGTATATGTGCGTGTCACGTGACCACTCGAGAAAACACCTTATGCCGAGAAAGGGCTGAACGGCCAGGTCAGAAACCCACCCTTGATTTTGAGTTGCTGACCAGAGGAAAGCAGTAAGTTGAAATCAACTACCGCCCCCCCCC